AGTGTGGTGCTGACAACACCAAGCCAAGGGTTAAGATCCCCTTACCGGTCATTTTTAAAAAAAAAAAAAAAAAAAAAAAAGAATTTTTGCAAAATCATGCAAAATCATTTATTTAACCATTTCTCTTAAAATTAAAGCTTTCTTTTGGGAATTTTTATTGATTTCATGTAACTAGTTTTCTACCACTCAAATTTATAAATTAGTAAAATGTCAAAATTTCAAAGATTTACAAGTACCAATTTAAAGAAAGATGATATCGCTGGGTAGTTAATCAAAACATAGTCCCTACATAATAACAGATGGGAATACCTGGTATAGCATTAAAAAACAGAGCTTAGAAAAGAAAGCAAAATAAAAGATAGTGGTTTATATTAATAAAAAAAACAAAAATAAAATTAAAAAGTTGTTTTCCTTTGACTATTAAATATACAAAGTGGTCCTTGCTTTTCTTCCACGTCCTGTGGAATCTAATAGGAACAAGATACCCTACCAGATAAAAGATTAGGGTTGGTGATATTGGGGGTGAGAAGAAAGGGAGAAAATAGCTCTCATTCACTCTTATTCAGCTCCTGATGGCCTCAGAGCACTTTGGTAACCAAAACAACATTTTTTTTTTTTTTTTTTAAAGATGACCAGTAAGGGGATCTTAATCCTTGGCTTGGTGTTGTCAGCACCACGCTCAGCCAGTGAGCAAACCAGCCATCCCTATATAGGATCCGAACCCGTAGCCTTGGTGTTATCAGCACCACTCTCTCCCGAGTGAGCCATGGGCCGGCCCCAAAACAACACATTTAACATCTTATGCTGGAGTCCCGTCAGTTTAGAATACCATGCTTGAATGGCTCACCACTCTCAATACTGCAGTGTTCATTAGGGACTACTACCACACAGCAGGGAAATCATTTATAATAAACTCAGCCTTGGGGTTGAAAATGAGTCACAAAAACACCAGCAAAATTTCCATAATCTCCAGTTAATGGTTCACTCGGATTTCAGTTAAATTGTTACTTATTTGGGTGAACATCATATGGCTTTTAAGTTCTATAATTTTAAATGGAAATACAATACAAACCTAGCTAAAGTCAAGTCCCTTTTTACAATTTATACTAAAAAGGTTCAGATGTTTGAAAACAAAGACAAAGGGAAAACCAATTATCACTGGCTGTGAGCTGCTGTGGGCAGTTCATTATTGACACATTCCTGAATTGGTAATCATGTTTTGAAATCCAGCCAGCTCTAGTCCAGACCAGCATCACTTTTTTAAAATACCATTTTCTCAATTTTTTAAAAACTAGATAGAGGTAGAAGTGATGGTTGCACAATACTGTGAATGTACTAAATGCCACTCAATTGTACATTTAAAATTTTATGGTACGTGACTGTTATGTTAATGTTATGCTATGTGACTTTTATCTTAATAGAAACAAAATAATTTTCTCCACTCTTCAATAACTTAGAGTTTGGCCTAATAATAAATAAGGTCGCCCCCCCCCCCCAGCACTAGAGATGAATTCCTATGCAGGGTCTGCAATTAATCCAGAGGACTGTAATGAGGATGCACATTTAGCAACATCTTTTATTTCAATAGACTTCAAAAGATATGACATTTAAAAAAATAATTAGAAAAAGTACTTAATATTCATTGCAGTTATTGTGAAGGGTAACACAAAAAGCAAACTGTTATCTGTATTCTTTCCACCCCAAAGAGAACAATTCAAAACACATGACTCTCGGAATAATGGTTGGCAGAACTCCACCTCCGAAGAGTCTACAGAGGTGTCATTACTCCATTAGTGATAATGGCTATTGATCTAGCCTCCCGGAAGAGCTAGGAGGAAAAGTCAAATATTTAAGATAGTAAGAATTTTAAAATCTAATGATTCTACAAAGAAGAGTCATTACTCCATTAGTGATAATGGCTATTGATCTAGCCTCCCGGAAGAGCTAGGAGGAAAAATGAAATATTTAAGATAGTAAGAATTTTAAAATCTAATGATTCTACAAAGAAGATTTTTAATATATATAATTATGATAGCCTTTTGCCATCCATTCTCCCCCCTACCCAACTGAGTTAAATTGCTTAACCCAGTAACTTCAACAAAATTAGTAGCCCAGAACCTTTTCTCCCCCGAGGTAAGTACCAGTAGCCTACTTAGAACATTAACTTAACTTCTCAAAAGGCTATTAAAAGCCAAAGGACGAGACAGAATTGTCTAACAAGTAAAAAACATCTACGTGTTCACTCTCCCCTTAAATGCAAGACTACACATCCATCCTAAAAGATGTTTCCTCTTTCCTCCTTTTCAAAATACTGCTTGTTATCTCTATCCTGATCATTCACATACAACTATTACCATGCAAAGATCCCAACAGTGCTATTACTAAGATAATTTCATTAAATGCAAATAAATTTTAATCCCTCTGTCATCAGGATGATTTCAGCCCTAAAAGAGAGCTCACTTGTACAGCTACTGATGTTTAAAACACACACACACACAGACACACAACACAGAGTTCACTTGCATAAGACTAAGTTGTTTCTTTGCACTTTGCAAATTCTCCATAATGACTTTTATTAACAGGGAAACAGTTCTATACATAGTTACCATTTTGGAGCACCTACTACATTCCTTATTTGATCTTCACAGCTTTTTCAAGTAGGTATTGCCCCATTTTACAGAGGAGGAAAGTGAGGGTAAGAGGTAAGGCTCAAAGTCACAGTAAACAGGTTTGAAAAAAAAACACGTATTTTTATAAAAAATACTTTTCTTTCCTCCATACTCTGTCAGGGAGCAGAAGCACGAATATAACAAAAGACAATCTTCCCAAATCCTGACCTAAAATGTTTTGTAATACGTTCTCATTCCCTAACAGTTACTGAAAATAACCCAGTAGGAAGTCATCACTTTTTAAAGGTTTTTGTTAAAATCTGCCAAGTTAATTATTTGCAATAAACCCAAGTATACATCCCACCTCCGCACTATGCATTAAGATTTCTACTTTTATTCCATAATTGTCCAGTTTTTAAAATAAATGAAACAAATGTTTAAAAGTATGAAAGTATCTTATAAACTTTTGTGAGACACTAGAGAAGGTGAACATGGCATATCTAGAGGTCACTGATTTGGATGTCTAAGAATAAATGAAATTCTTATTTTTTGGAACAACTCTTATCTGGTGGAAGACGAAGCAGTCGATTCCACCTGGTTTATCCACCTGGTTTATCCGCTAATTTCTGCATTACCTTGGACAAATGCCATTTGCATACTCCCTACCAGCCCTTAGGTGCATTGCAGCCTCTGTGTCATTGTGTGTGACATCACTGGGTTGCTATGGATATAGGTGCGAGGTCACTCGCTTTCCTGTGAAACTAGAAATAAGGAAAAAATTAGAAGAGCCTAAGTAACACGAACTAAAGATATTTCCAATGTTGATTATCTATTAAAAGCATAACATATCATTCCCATTAAACGTTATAAGATAGTAACTGTAGCAATATATTAATACAGCAGTATTCCCAATTTCAGAACAGATTCTGTTCCTTAATAAGACAAAAACCTTTTTTTGCTATGTAGCCTGTTTAAATATAAAGGCATCAACATTGTCATCTTCTAAGAACCAGTAAAGTCATTCAGAAATTAATACCTACAATATTTCATTTCAAAGATTTAACATGTAAAGTACACTTCTGCATCCACATCACACTGGAGATGTATTCTAAAACCTTTGTTACATAAGGCAGGAAGTTAAATATTAAGACACTGAGCAACCTAATTCATTAATTAGATTAATTTTTCCACGTTTTATTTAGTAATATTCACTACTTCCCCCCTTCCTGTAATATCAAACTGGCTGACAACCCATTAGATAAATATAGTGTTACTGACAAAATGGTGCAACACAGGCAGGAATCTGCATCCCAGACAAAATGCGACAACTGAAGATCAGTATTCTCTTTTCATCAGCATAAGGATACACTAGCTTAAAAAAAAAAAGGCTCATATGTATCTAACAAAACAAATTTTCTTAAAAAAAGACTTTTTCCTCTTTAAAATAACTCCTCCCAGCCTCCACCCAATCTAGCCTCTCTGCAATATGACAAATGCAGAATCTTCTGGAATGACTTGATACTGCCTCCCACCACCGCTTTGTTTGCAATATCAGATCAGACAGAATATTTTTTAAGCTTATAAGAATTTCCACAGACATGTGCCTGTATTCAAAAAAGAAACGGCATACGTCAAATTGAACCAGTCAGCTAAATCCGCAGCATTTATTTTAAAGGCAATACATACCCTTTTCAATACAAAAACAATAAGGAAAATGGAAATGACATGTTGAGATCAATTAACGAAAAGGCTAGCGAGACAAACGTTCCTCCTTCCTAAAAGCCAAAGGACTTGCTTACGGAAATAGAGAAGGAGAAGCCTTTTGTTAAAAAAACGTGAGCAAAGAGGTTTCGATTTTGCACCACTGAGCCCAGGTTTTAGAGCCTACATTTTTCCCGGGGAGGTTCTAAAAGATCTATCAGGAGAGGCAGCAAGGAAGATTGGGGGGGTGGGGGTGGAAAACTGGGAGACCTGCTGAGTGAATGGGAAAGGCGCCGCCCAGACACCAGGGAGAGAAAGAGGAACCGCATCCATGCGGTCCCCCGCCCCCACGCCTAGGCTGGGAGGAGGGGAAGTGGGGCACAAAGGATGCGCACAGCCCCCGTTCAGGTCCCCTGCAGACCCAGAGACCCCGCTCCCAAAACCAGCTCTGCAAGACCCCGCCCCAGCCCGAGGCCGGGGAGGGCCTCGTAAGCAGCGCCGCTGGGCCTCAGGGACGCTGGGGAGACGCGCGTCACAACCCGGGTCCCCATCGCTATCGGGACCCTCCCCACCCTCCTCACTGAGTGAGATGGAAAGGCCACTCTGCAGTCGCGACAGGCGACCAGCCCCTGGGCCTTACACGCAGATGACCGCGTCTCTGGAGGCGGGGGGAGGGGAGGAGACACTCACGTTCTTCATGGCCGCGGCCATGTCGTCGTAGCGCTCCGCCTGCTCGGCCAGCCGGGCTTTCTGCACCAGTTGCTCGCGGTCCACCATCTTCGCAGGCTGGTTCGGGCCGGAGGAGGAGACCGGGGCGGCCTGAAGGGCTAGGAGGGCGGCTGCGGCGCGGCTGGAGCCCGTGTGCCGGAGGGACCGACCCACGAAGCGGGCGGCTGGGGCGGCGGCGACGGCACGGAGGAGGAGGCTGGAGCTGAGACCGCGAGACCCGGCGCGAGGAGGCTGCGGGGGCTGTGCCTGCCGCGGATGGACAACCCCCTGCGGCCCCGCCCACGCCGCGTGACGCAGCCCGGTGACGCAGCCCGGTCCCGCCTGCGGGCCGCGCCCTCGCCCAGACCCCGCCCGGGCTCTTCCGCGGCTCGCGCTTATGTTCCCCACGTCGGTTCGCTGCCGTCTTCTGGGTGTCCTGTCGTTCCCTGGTGCCCCCCCCAATACCCCTTTTCTCCACTTCACCCCCGCTGCTTCGCCCCAGCTTCTCCAAATACTCCCTCACCCCTTTCCCCTTCAGACCCCCGGCCAGGCAGCCGGCGCGTGGCCCCCTGGGAGTTGTAGTTTATCCTGCCGTGGGCTGATATGTTGGGGAGACCAAGGACAAAGGGGCGGTCGAGACTACAACTCCCAGTGGACGTAGCGCGCAGGCGGAGGAGGATGGCCGGAGGGGTGGGGAGGGTGTGCGGGGGTGCTAAGCCGGCGGCCGCTGGGGACCCCTGGCGGGGAAGAGGGCTGCCTCAGTCCAAGCGAGTGCTGATTCACGGCCCCGCCCCATATTCTCCTGGAAGTTACGAGGGGAGTGGAGAGGGCAAATGCCTCAGCCCTAGACCACTCTTTCTGAGATGAATTAACAGGTCATGGGGAGGACGGGGGGTGGGGGTGGGGGGTTCCACTGTGGAGCCAAACTGTCAGGGTGGTGCCCGCCCGCGGAATGGCTGAGTTATGGGGCCAAACCCAGGGTAACTGTCACCCCCTCCCTCTACAAGGTTTCAGTTCCCCACCCCACCTTGAGGTTCTTGGGCCTGACTAGGTGAAAACATGGGAGGACGAATACCAGCTGGGCATACTGATTAATTTCCAGAAAGGATGCAGCTGTCTGCAGGCTGACCCTGGAGAGTCCCTTCTTCCTCTCCAGGGTAGAATGCTAAAAATTCAATTCAGTTTAGCAAGGGCCTACTGGATGCTTAACACTGGGTTGTATCAGGGAATGGTTGTCCAACCCTCATCTTCCCACCTAGACATAAACACTACAGTCAGGCTGACATTTTCTTGCTCATATGCTTCCCTTTTTGTTGCTTTGCCCCCCACAGATTTGTCATCCCACTTCCCCTGGGTGACAGAGCCACAAAGGATTACTCAAAGCCCATCTCTTCTGAGGAGTGAGAAGCCCTGAAGTGGTTAACTTCCCCGGAACCCTCAAGTGAGAGGCATCCCTTCCTTGGGAAATTAACCACAAATTGGGGTTCTCTTCCTGCATTTATTTTCCAGACCAGGAAGTTACAGGAAGAGACATAGGTGCGGTTTTTGCTAAGTACTGATACAAGCTGGTAACATTCAGTAAAAACAAGTCAGATGACATTCCCTTAGACAGTTAAGTGATCCACCAACAAAGGCTTGATCTAGCAAACATTCCTTCTCCCTCCAGCAACTTTCCAGTATCTTCACATATCAATCAGTAACCTGTCTGTCCTCGATCAGCAACCTTGCTGTGTTAGAATTCTTTATCCTACACTGGAGACTTTATAGCCTGAGGAAAATTTCCTGTCCTTTGCGAGGTCAATATTTGAAATTGCAAGGCTTTGGAAAACCAGGCCCTGTGGAGTACATATGCTTTATAGTATATTCCACATCTCCCCCCATTTTATTTATTTAAAAGAAAAAGAAAAAGCTATAGATCAGGTTGGCACAGTTAAGACAAAAGCATTTAAAGCAAAGTTGGTATCATTTAGCATGGCAAGTCCTTTTAATTTACTTCAGATGAGGACTGATGATGTCATTGTCTTTCAGGGCAGCTGCAGCAGCATCAATCCAGGTGCTATGAATTGGGTGTAATTACCAATTGTTGAAACTCAGGAAAGGGATTCTGATCCACATAATAGTTGATTCTGAGTGCAGAGAGTTTGGTAACGTTAAGCTGTCCAGGACATTACTGCTTCCAAAGCATCTAGTCTTTGTAAAATTTTTGATC